ATTCCAATTTTTGTGTACCTAAGATTAGGATTAAACTACATTGTAGAAAGTAAATTTATGGAGGAGGTGCATAAAAACCAACGGCATCTCTGGTAGGACGGTTCTTTTCATATCTTTTCGATGTTCAACGTTTAGTCAGAACGCTTATGGCTCTCGCTCCTTTGATTTTGATTTTATTTTCAAGTCCTAAGGATTTCCTAATTACTGTCACAGAGGACATTAGACAAGTTATATGCCCTGTTTGCAGAGAATATACGGTTTCAGCAGGAGAGGATATGCTCCGACACTTAAGAAAATTAGCAGTAAACAGTTGCAAGTTAGCTTCGTGTTTAATTAACTTTCACCAAAAAGCACTAGCAAAATCTATAAAGTTCTTTACACATTGCGCTATTGAGAAAATGGGTCCGCCATGGAAACGAGCTAAAACTCCTTTCATTGCTTTGTGGGTGTTATTCTGGGATGTTGTCTTAGTCATAGTTGTTGGTGTCATTTTAGGAGGAGTATGCTTTTGTGTATTGTTAATAGGTTTAGTCTTTCTCATTTGTTGCTATTCACCGTGGGGTAGTCTCATGCTTGTCTGTTTAAGGAAACTTAAGCAAATGTTAAAAAAATGGAACCTTGAAGTATTCAACCAATACCGTCATTGTCTCATACTGATGTTCATCGGTGTTCAAATTTCTCTAGTTGGTTTTCAGCTACTCCTAATGGTAATATTAACAGACTGCTGTTTGGTAGGGGGCATTTCTTGTCGATGTATCACTCGCATGTTTGGCTTAGTTACTTTAGGTCTAGTGTTAAATGCGTCAATCGCGGGCCCATTCTTAGCACTCTCTATCGCTGCTTTAACAAACATTTATCTATGCTACTATAATCTGCAAATGTACTACCGAGATGTGAAAGAAATGATTTCGGAGAAGTGGCAGACTCTTGATGGAAAACGCGAGCACGGTGCAATTCCAGAAGATCTATTTTGGCGCATTTGCAGTGAAGCGTCAAATCCAAATAAGGCAGTTCCACCAGTTAGGGGTGAAGTAAACCGCATGCTTAGCAATATGGCTATCATTTTGATATTTCTATTTTTGGTTTTCTGCTCTGTATTTCTGGTGACTGATGCGAGCAGTATGTCAGCAGTGCCATCAACGATTGCTGTGTTTTTAAGCGGAGCTATTCCTAGCTTACTTTTCAAGGGAATGACACACGGAAAGCGATTTACGGGTGAGACAAGGGTGAGAATGATTAGAGAAATCGAGGAGGCGGTTATAAAGTACAAGGAAAATACCGCGGTAGAGTTGAATAATCTGTTGCAAAAGGACACTTTATCGAATGAACTGACTTTGGCCTAGTACAATGAAGGGTTATAAAATTCGGAAAGTGCCGCGATCGTCGTGCGTCCCTTTCTCATTCTTTGCTTGGTTTCGTGAGGAAGGGCGCATCAGCTTTCCCAGCTTCTACTATTTTTCATATTCATTCCTTAGTTCTTCTAAGTACTCTAAAAGGACATTCTCATTTTATAAGATATGAACTAGAAGTAAGATTAGATAACTTATTGATTTTGCCAATGTCAGTCCTGACGCTATGTGTGCTATGTTCCATCAGTTATTAATCATTGCTATCACTTATTAATCGTTGCTTGACTGAGTATTATGTACTTCAAGGCCTCTGTACTGAAATAAATATTTCGTAAATTGCATTCATGACTTTGTATTTCCTTTGGTATTGCTGAAAATAATATCACAGATCATTATTCTGCCCCACTTCCCTTCCCTAAGCAGGGACTGTTACTGATGTGAACCAAGTGGAAAATTTAATGTAGTTTTCTTATGGAGAGGACTGAAGAAAAAGTAGCGTTCTTTTAATTATAGTTCATTGTAAGCTGTTTTAAACTTATCCAGACATCTTGAGCGGAAGCAGTCGCTACGAATTTTTAACAGTGGTACAGATGCTCTACTTCAATCCCTAAATTCACATCTGTTACCACATTTTTTGTGTTGAATTAGATAAGTGAGAGACGAGGTTTGACAGAAACTTTCCTGAAAATAGAAACCTTGTCAGTTTTGGTTTATGCTTATCTCCAAAAAATGAAAACAATCAATGAGAATGTTATAACTGCAGCCATAGTGTCACCATAGAAATAGTCGTACCCATTCCTTCACGTGCCTCCAACTTCTCTTGAGTAAGAAGCTTGCGCACTGATTTTGTCGCTGTACATGGCCTGGTCATTCGCAGTTTCTTTCAACTTCGTTTTGCAAAAAATATTATTTCTCCTAATGCGTGATTGTGTTGTGTTCACGCTCCAGAGAGATTACCAGACATAATTAACGCGAAATCATATTTCCATCATATTTTAAAACCCTCACTAAAACGCTTTGTCAGACGCCAATTGACGCGAAATCAATGGGGTCTTCGTTTTGTAGAAAAAGCCCCCTGAATCTATAAAACGAAGATCCTTGCTAAAACGCTTTGTCAGACCCCGGGGAAGGGAGGGGGGGAACTCCTATACATTGCCTATAGGAGTATGTGCTGCCCGACGGGGTCATGATTTCGGAGCTCCTGATTTAGAACGAGCTATCCAATTTTATGACGGAGCTTCGGTTCGTGGGCGTGAGTTTCCGATCCTGTCGCCCACTGACATAAACCTTATGCGAAACCTGTCACTGAGTCAGCTATGGTGCTAGCTTTTATTTCCGAATTCCTCGAAAATGAAGCTATCGGCGATGTAAAACGGTTTTCCTTGATTTATTTGAGATCGTGCATGGCTTGAGAAAGCTTCAGATCGGCTCACGCGCTTGCACTTAAAGTTTATTTTCAAACATGCTTTTACTTCATTATGTAAACAATATTAATTAAATTTTAGAGTTCACGATTACATTGATATGCTTTTGATACAATTGTTGGTCCGAAAAGACATGTAGTACAGTAATTTACGCTTCCTCGAGATACGATTTTCCGCACGGAATGATCTCTGCAAAAAGCTTTATGTTAGAAGTATAGTATTATGATCAATTTCTTTAGGTACCTTTTGTTAAATCAAGGTAGATATAAGAGTTTAGAAACTGTGCTTATCTTGCCTGGAATCTCTTAAATAGAAGCAGTGATGCCGATGTTTCTGCATGCTGTGCCTCAATTTTCAACGCTTTCAAACAAGGATTTTTAAAACTGACAGGTTATAACTGAATATAAAAAGACACTATAAAAATTGCACATATTTTGTAAAGGAAGTTTTGTTCTGTGCATTCTTGCGTGACTTAATACTGATCCTAATATTATTGGCTGAATAGGCCTTATACATTAGGTTATGTGCTCATATTTCGCAAAGCTTTGCTTTGGTGCATCACTCTCAACCCGCTGGCAAAATGTGTACTTTGAAAGCAAGCTACTAAGACGAGATATTTCGAAGGAAACATGAGTACCATTTTTTTCCCTGTAGTTGCTGTTAGAATAATAACCCTGTAAATGAGGATCGCAGCCATTTTTCCTAGTATGAATTAGTTCCTCGTATATTCTAGCTTATGTCAATAGTAGGGAGAACACGCATGCCTGTATACATACTTTATACATACTTATACATCACTGCAAATGTGATACAGGGGATTTCAATTTCACTGAAGTTTGATAATTAGCACATCGTTGTTTACTTTACATGCTTTAGTTTCTGTTAATGTTTTTTAAACAGGAATGAGTATGTAAAATTTTGTTAATTTTATCAGGAATCGAAGACATTTTCCCTGTGTATAGTTTCTATAATTCCAGAATTGCATAACCACAAATAAAACAATATTTTCTTTTTGTGTCTAACTTTCATTGCCAAAGGGAACTATCCAATCGAGGGTATTCGTTTTGTATATCCACACGGTCATTTCGAATTCTACAAAACGAAGACCCTAATGATTCCGTGTCATTTGGAGTCTGACAAGGCGTTTTAGCAAGGGTCTTCGTTGTAAAGATTCAGGGGGTTTTTTCTACAAAACGAAGACCCCCTTGATTTCGCGTCAGTTGGCGTCTGACAAAGCGTTTTAGCTCCGAAATCATGACCCCGTCGGGCAGCACACACCCCTATAGGCAATGTATAGGAGTTCCACCCCCCTTCCCCGGGGTCTGACAAAGCGTTTTAGCAAGGATCTTCGTTTTATAGATTCAGGGGGCTTTTTCTACAAAACGAAGACCCTATTGATTTCGCGTCAATTGGCGTCTGACAAAGCGTTTTAGTGAGGGTCTTCGTTTTATAGATTCAGGGGGTCTTTTCTACAAAACGAAGACCCCCTTGATTTTGCGTCAATTGGGGTCTAACAAAGCGTTTTAGTAAGGGTCTTCGTTTTATAGATTCAGGGGGTCTTTTCTACAAAACGAAGACCCCCTTGATTTTGCGTCAATTGGGGTCTAACAAAGCGTTTTAGTAAGGGTCTTCGTTTTGTAGATTCAGGGGGTCTTTTCTACAAAACGAAGATCCCCGTTATTTTTTGTTTGCGCTGAGGAACGCTTTGGCTTGGTTTTTTAACTGTCCGTGCCTTATTCGGGCAAAAAAATTAGGGTCTTCGTTTTTCGGTCTTCGGTCTTCGGTCTTCGGTCTTCGGTCTTCGGTCTTCGGTCTTCGGTCTTCGGTCTTCGTTTTGTAGACACCCCTTGCTTGTGTAATAATGAAACGATGAAACAATATCGATCTGTGCTTCGCAAAATATCACAACGCGTCATTGTCTCGCAGATAAATTATTTGCCTCCCTTCTGACCTGGTATATTTCTCGATGTTTTGCTTCTTCTCTTCTGAATTCCTTGTTGATGTGTGAGTTGTGGTCTTTTAAAATGAATTTAAAGGTTGCATTCGAAGACGACTCTGTTCTTTGTTACGGAAAGATTCTGTCCCAGGCCTCGTGCGACTTCTCTGTTCTTCATCGCTTCAAATCTGTTCTTCATCGCTTCAAAGTGTACACAAAATCGCCAGTTACGAGAGCTATTTGGAGATTTGAGTCCTATAGCCTGCGATACAGCTGTCAATTGTCTCTAAAATCCTAATTTCTTCTTGTTGTAGTAAATGAGACTTAGACTAGAGTAGGAAAAAAACCTCGTGATAAGTCATAACAGCCCCTCCTCCGTTCAGGGGGGGTTCCCCCACCCCCTCCCCCCAAATGAGTTTGTAATCGTCCCATTTCTGCGTGGTTACCAAGGCATCCTTTCATGGCTTCCACGTCGGCAGACTACGTAAACTTGTCGATAATGTTTTGCCCTTAATTGATTTGATTGTTCAAAGAAATGAAATTACTGAGGCGGCGGAAAACAATTCTGGTTATTTTAGTGTTCATATGGCTTGGGGGTATGATTTATTTTCTGGCACCGTTGACAGGATCAAGGGATGACACTCGATCTAACGGAGATCAGGAAGACACTCACATAAACTTTCAACAGAATACAGACAGTCGAGACACTTATTATGACCAGGTAAGCTTGAATTATTTTTATGATCGTATATTTGTAAATTACCAAGGCTAATGTTTAGAAATGTAACTGTAATTCTTGTAGGAATTGATAAATTATTGTATAATGTGGCGTCAAGTGTTTTACACCTCGTCTCCGTAACTTTGAAAAGAAGCCCTATATAATGTCGAGTTTCAAAAGAATTTTGATGAAACATATCCTTGGATTTTCACCATGGTGATTCACTGTTCTGTTTTAATTTAATCCTAGAATGAATTTGTAGGGTTAGGCGGAAAACCAGTTGAAACAGACTCTCGAAGAATAGAAGGTTTCGACGTGGAAAGTTATTTAGGCGTCACTAGGGTGAGGCAAGGTGAAGATGCCTATGCCAGTAATGCATATAATCAAGAAGCTAGCGACAAAGCTCCCTTTAACAGAGATGTTCCTGATGTGAGAGCCTCTCAGTAAGTAATGAAAGTTTTTAAAAGATACATAGGTAAATTTTAATCTTAGGTTAAAAGCAAAAAAACCTAACAGTTTGTTTTGTCTCCTGGTCATGATTATGAGTAATTATATATGGGAGGCAAAGGAAATTGCCATCTTGCAGTATTAGTCTCACAGGCTCCACAGGGTCAGGACGGTCTTAGCAAGGGGCATTTTCAACTGATTAATCAGGAATTCATGAAAGTTTGTCCCTCCCCTCGCAAAATGGAACACTGCAAGACATAGTTGTATTGAGAGCTTATATTATAAACTGTACAATTATTGCTTAGGGTTAGTTACTTCTGAAAATTACTCTAATGGAATATATAGTATACGTCTTTTTTAAACATTTTATACTTCAATCTATAATATTTAATACTTTAATTTATATACAGTACATCTTTAAACAGTCATACTGCACTTTTATTCATGACATCTCTGGCAGTGGCCATGGGCAGTATAAAGTGAATCCTGTTTTCTGATTTGCTACTTGAGTGAAAAATATGGACCCATCTTGCCTGCTAGGGATTGCCTGCTTTGATCCCATGAAGGAAAAAATGACTTGCTGCAGACATTTTAAGCTCATAGTTTTTTTGGACAATTTCGGCCACAGAATTGCAAAAAGTGGCAAAAGAGGGCCAAAACAGCTCTTGCGGGCTTATTGTGCTTTAAAAACATTTGGCTTTTTTCTCCATCTCTTAAAATAAGCAAGTCTGGATTCTTAATGAAGTGGTTATCTTTTTGCTATGTAATGAATTCCTTAATGATCAAGTGTGAGGTCAAAATGACTGGATATTCAGTTAGCCTTGTTCCTTTTTTTATGGAGCAGGACTTGGTCTTGCTTCATTATGTTTCATCCAAACCTACTTTGAGCTCATTCCACACACGTTCAGTTGATATTGGCAGAATAGTAAGCCACATGTAATTATGTCTCTGACCCCTGCACCTTGTAATGCTGTCCTATCATGTCCTCTTAAAAAAAATTGTTTTTATTTACATTGAAGCTCTTGTCAAACTGAGATGAGGAAAATGTTTGCAAATGATCCACTGATTTGCTTCACATGTCCATGTAGGTACATGGCTATCAAGAACTCATTTCAAAACTTAGTAGTTACATACCTCCTCTGTGTTTAGATGCCAAGAAAGATTGTGGATAAGTGATGATTTACCAACAACAAGTATTATTATTTGTTTCCATAATGAAGGCAGAGCTGCCTTATTACGGACAGTCATAAGGTACTGTATGTTTGTCATAAAAATTAATATTGCTACTTTAATGTTGTTTTACTTTTTTTACCCGATTTTGAGCTAATTAGTTTATGTACAGGTAAGCATGTGCATTGGTGAGCATTATCTAATAAGCGAGACACTACAAGCACCCTTATTGATCAAAATCTATCGTTCATTGCACTGGTAAACCCTTGTTTCAAGTTTAGATGTATTTTATAAAAGAAATACACGGCTCTCTCTATCAATTTATCAGCTTAATAACCCACTTGGGATGTTTGGAGAACTTGAGTAAAGTTTGTTAATCAATCACTGGTGACCAATATTTTGCTTAATTAATTCCTACTTGTGTACATATTGGTGCCATTTGCTGAAACCCTGTGAACTGATGTATTAGTTTTGGTGCCACAAATTGACTTTTTTTTTCAGTTGAGCCCACTTTAGTTTGGTACTAATTATTATTATAATTACTTTTTTACAGTTCTCTCAATAGAAGTCCTCCAAACTTGTTAAAAGAAATCATTCTTGTAGATGACTTTAGTGATAATGGTAAGTTCTCAATGTTCTGAGGTGCCTCTTTTACAATGGCTTGTAGTTCTTGTATATTGGTTGTTCATTGTATAGGATCAAAGTTACAATGCAACTATTTTGAAATGTAGTATTAAATGTGGTTATATGGAACATACATTTATTCAACTTCACTGATTGGTTTAAAATAAATATGTCAGAAATTTTGTAGTTTTGTAATAAAGTGCAATGTGTTTAAAACTTCATAAGCATAATAATTAGAAAATTTTTGTAATAAACTGTTGAATCTATTACACCCTAGCTATAGCTGCAAACGCTAATCACTCATATTTCAAACTTTACCAGAACAAACTCGACACATTGTTGAATATGGTAACTGAAAATAACAAAATTACAAACACGCGAATGAGCATGATATAACTTACCTTGTATGAGTGAAAGTACTGGAAAACAACAAAGTGAAATAAACAAGGACACTTACAAGACGAATGTGACCAAACCAAAGACAAAAACATGAAACCCAGAGCTAGATATGTAACGATATTTTTAGCAAACTAGACAACTAACCAAATAAATTACACGCGAACATTATGTATACGATATGCAAATAAATATAACCAGTACAAAACTAGTAATAAACACCTAACACGAAACTACGAAACATCAACACTAACAAAAAATGATAATACAAATTCTTGTTCCTACACTAACATCAGTTTACATGTTCTCCTTACTTTTTCTATACATTTCTTGTGGTACTTACAAGGAAAATTTGTCTAACGGTCAAGAGCTTCATGATCATTTCCTTTATTCTCATGACCATGAGGTTCAACTCAGGGGTGATACTCTTGGGAGAAACTGGATGCTTATCATTCTACAGGGTTCAAGAGTTGATGTAAATTTTAAAATCATTTGTCTCTGTAGCTGAGGATGGAAAGCTTTTAGAGAAACTACCTAAAGTAAGAGTACTCCGAAATAACCAAAGAGAAGGTGAGTTAATATCAACTTTGTCACAATTATTTGCCCTGATTTTGGGAGTTCCTTCAATAATTTCACTTGAATAGCTCTGGAAAGTCAATCTGATTGTGAACAAACTTCACAAATGCTAATTTTGAGTGCAAAAGTTTCTTACTTCCTCAAGAGTTATCTTGAATGTTTCAGCAAACAACTTACAGCTACCACAACTTCTACTTACAGGCACTGAAAAGTTTATTTACATATATCATATAACAGAACAAGTCATGACTGATAATTATGGTACATGTATTATTTTACCTGGATACCTTTAAACTCAATATCTAACAAAAATTAGAGAGTTATTAATTTTTTTTGCACATACACAGAGCTAACAATATTCTTTGTCAAAAATTGTCTCCATGGGAACAAAGGTGTTGGTATCAGATTTGTTGGTCATAATAACAACTATTCTTTGCATTGTTACAATTTTTGTTTTTTTTCAGTGAATTTGTAAATTGCTTTCTTTTTGGACTGTATTTTGGATTTGATGTAATGCTTTTGTGAAGACTCAGTTTAAAAATAAAAATTGTGGCTGTTGAAGAGCGCAGTGTCTTTACCTTCCTTTAAATAACTTTAGATTGAATATTTTTATACAGGACTTATGAGGTCACGTGTGAGAGGGGCAGATGAAGCTAAGGGTGAAGTGCTGACTTTCTTGGACAGCCATTGTGAATGCAATAAGAACTGGCTGGAACCACTTCTGGAGAGGATTAAAGAGGTGATTTAAATTTTGTAGCTCAATCTTTGACAATAGTTTATTTACATAAACCCCTTCCACAAATGGCCAACCTACACATAGTCATTTTTCTTTTCTTTAGAACTTTGTAAAACTTTAACCCAAGAAAAAAATTGTACTACAATTGCCAAAATATATATACCCAAAGCATGTTGATTTTTTTCAATTTCTTGTGGACATGCACATGTACTTGAATATCCAATGGAAGATCCATTTATTAACATTGATAATGTTCATGTACGGTTACATCTTGCTCTGCACTCACATTGTAAACCACGGTAGATACCAAACCCTGATTAGTAGTCCAATTTCCCCTCCTTTCTGCTATGTATTTCCTTGAAGACTACAGTGTAGGAATCAATTTGGTGTTACATACGAGTGTACATTTTTTCAAGATAACAGGTCTTGACTGATGTTTGCCTTTTCTCGCATATCCTTCTTGCTCAGCAATGTTTGTTTATGAAGAATGTATGTCGCACTGACTAAATGGTTTTACATTCCTTACTTTGAAAGGGGAAACCGAACTTATTGATGAATTCTACTTATTTTGACTTTTACTGTTTGTTTAGAATCGCAACATGATTGTGAGTCCAATCATTGATGTTATCAACATGGACACATTTGAGTACCTAGGGTCCTCGTCAGATCTGAGAGGAGGTACATGACTATATACACACCTGTTCTGTACTGTTTGATAACATGTAAATGTATATTTTCGTAGTAGGTGTTATAATCATAACTGTTTGGTTAAATGCTTTGATCAGGACGTATGTACATATACACAGGTAGTCTGATTGTATGGGTGTTTTCTTCTGGACCAATTTGGATTGCATGATGAAATTGTGCTGGTATTTCTAGTCAAATATTGGTGAAATGATACTCCAGGAAATAATGCTATGACTAGCCAATTGTTGTACATGTCTGTAGAGTATGTAATTTATAACTGTTGTTTAAAATCAAAATCAAATTTAGCTGAAAATCATAAAACCAAATTAAAAGACTGCAAAATAGTTTGATATACAGAGTATGTTACAGTTATTATCCTGATGTGCCTTCTTTCAAACTGTACTTTAAATACGATTTTGACTGAATTTCATTTACTTCAACATGTATTTGTCCTGCAAACAACTGATTTTTTAGCCAAGTAGTACCACTCATTTTCTTAAAGTAAATTGCATCTATTGCATTGTACTGTAGTGAAGCAAATTTTTGTAGTTGTGCTAACAATCCAGGTGACAGGTTACTGAATGAGGCTGTTAAATTTTTCCAGGATTTGGCTGGAACTTGAACTTCAAGTGGGATTTTCTTCCACCTAATGTGCTTGCTGAGAGATCTGGTCAACCAATGGCTCCAATTAAGTATGTGTGCCAGATGAACATGATAATATTTATTCCCTATTCTGCCCTTTAACCATTTACTGACCATAACATCAGTATGCATATTCTCCATACTGTTTTCTATACATTTCCTAAGGTGCTGATAGGGAGAATTTGTTTAACAATCAAGAGGTTCCTTAGTTGGTGATCATTTTCCTTTATTCTCCGAGAGTCATGACCTTAACATTTGAATCAGGGGTGGTATTGTAAGGAGAAATAGTATGCCAAGGGTCTAAAGGGTTGATTGAGTTTTGGATCAATATCAGTATCTGGGCAACTGTCCACCTACCCCTCCCCTAACAGTCTATTGATAACAAGTCAGGGTTAATGTTGGGTTAGGGGAAGGGACTAGGTGAGCAGTTGCCCAGATACTGATGTTGATCTGAGTTTCAATGATGTTCGTTCAGTCACAGACCTCTACAGTGTGCAAGTTATCAATTACAGTAATTCAGTATCACTTTATTTGCAGAACTCCTGTTATAGCTGGTGGGCTATTTTCAATTGACAAGAAATGGTTTGAAAGGATCGGTAAATATGACATGGACATGGACATTTGGGGAGGAGAGAATTTAGGTTTGTATACTATACATGAAGCTAATCTCTAAGTTAAATTTTAGAGTTGTGCAGTATGGTTACTGTGTGTTAGAATTTACTTTTAAACATGGAATGGATTGTAATGAGCTAATAACCCAGTCACACCAAAGCTTAAACATGTTTAAAGCTGTTTTGTTAAACCTGGGTTAATTTATTTTTCATTATAAAAGGTGCTAGACCCTTGGTCATCGAATTTAATTGTGGCACATTGAGAATACCTCTCAAGATGTAAGGTATACCCCATTTACACCAGCAAAACATTTTTAGTTATTTGAATCCTACAAAAAAATCAGTTTTTCAGTTCTCTGTTTCTGATTTTCATTCAGTTAATTTACTCTTTAACTCCCAGATCAAATTATTTTGTAATTCTCTTTCACTGTCAGCCATACAGTTCTTATAATGTTAGTTCAGACAATGTAGTATTGTATCAACTAATTATCCCCAAATTGATATTTTTCTCAATTCTCATCACTTATCTGGTTGATATTGTATTGATATTGTATTGATATTGTATTGATATTGTATTGATATTGTATTGATATTGTATGGAGAAATTTTGTCCTAGTTATTCATAGGAATTAAAGGGTTAAATCAGGTGCAACTAAACATGTTCTGCTGGTGTGGATGGGATATAAGTTACACCTTGAGATAATAATAATAATAATAATAATAATAATATAGGATTTCTATAGCGCTCACTCTAGAGTTCGGGGCACTTTACAATATGTACAATTAAAATGATTATAAATAATTATCTAAATTAACCAGGAAATAATACTAGCAAATTAATTAATATTAATTATATTAGATGTTGTTTACATGTATGAAATACTGTGTGACTGTCTTCTTATATGTTTACAGTTGGTGATTGCCAGGACACCATCATGATAGAGATTGAAACTTTCACTATCAATATCTTATTTAGTGCATGTAAATCACCTTAACTGTCTGCCATACAATTCTTATTATGTTACATGTGCAATGTGGTTTGGATAATATGGTATTGGATCACTAATAAAACCCAAACTGGTATAATTTTCCTTATTCTATGCACATGTGTGTTTGATATTGTATCAATAATTTATTGTAAGGAGAAATTCTTTCATGACTGCTCATGAGAGTGAAAGGGTTAAGAAGCTGACAGCATTTATCTCCTTTCATCAAAGTGACCATAGATGTATATCCTTTGATGTGTTTTGATTTTTCTCTCTGTACTCAGAAATCTCCTTTAGAGCATGGCAATGTGGAGGAAGCATGGAAATCATTCCTTGTTCAAGAGTTGGTCACGTGTTTAGAAATAGACATCCTTATAAATTTCCAGGAGGAAGTATGAATGTCTTCCAAAAGTAAGTCATGATTCTTCAGTGTTTTTTAGCACTTCCTATAAATGCCATCAATTTTTTTTCCTTTCTCTAATTTACAAGTATAACTAACTTCTTGTATCAAGATTTATAACAAAATTTCTAAAACCTAGGACTCAAAAGAAGCTCCTTGTTTGAGTGAGCCATACATGAGTATCTTAGGTTACAATCATTTTTGTGCTCACATTTTTCTGTTTGATTTTATTGTACTGTGTATTGTACTGGTGGAAATTAATATTTTGTAGCAATAATGTAATGAACGTCATCGAGCCTCAGTTGTTTAAAAGGTGGATAACCCTAAATATATCAATGCTAAATAATTTATATGCAGTTAAATGCAATTTAATGGAGTCAACAACAAAGAGTGTCAGCGTTTTCTAGTAGTCAGTGGTTTTTGCATATACACATGCATCGGAATTCCATGTGCTCTTTGGGTGCCTGTTTCCCTTTCCTGCATGGGGGCTTATGGCTGGGTTGCCAGGATTTGCCAGGTAAGGGAGAAGTCTCCATCAAGGTGCTGGCTACCAATAATGGAAGCTCCTGGATGTTTCAGGCACCCAACCTCCAATTAGCGATGCAGTTGTTAACTTGTGGATAGCACAGTATATTTTGTTGACACTTATTCGCTAGATAATGATTTATCTGTTAGCAATTGTTTTCTGCCCTTTGAACAACTGGGCCTAGATTGTTAATTAATTACTTTTATTAATTATAACTATGCCTCTGCTTTCAAGAAATACAAGAAGAGCTGTGGAAGTTTGGATGGATGATTATAAAAAGTTTTACTATGCAGCAGTCCCCTATGCTAAGAACACACCTTTTGGAGAGTGAGTTTTCTGTTCAAGCATTTTCTGGAGTCATGCAAGTCGTACTTGATTTTAATTTATCCTTAGTTATGACTTTTTCAGTTGACAAAGTCCATGAAGATGTAAAAAGTTAATGATTGGGTATGATTTAATGTGTCCATCAGGATAATTTGGATTGACAATATGTAAACAGTGACCCAGTGTGTCATTTTATTTATTTAGTGATAAAAGCTTTGGTCTACTTAGGGAGTAGACGAATCTTCTTGATCAATTTTCCTTATTATCTTTACTTTGAATGTTTTTCTGCTCTCTACTATGTAAAATCTATATTATTGCAGTGGATGTTCTTTCTTTTATCCTTATTACGACTTTTGTTCCTCCATCTCTTCTAACAGCATTCAAAGCCGACTTGCACTGCGCAAGAAATTGAAATGTAAGCCTTTCAAGTGGTATGTCCAGAATGTGTATCCTGAACTCAGGTGGGTAGGGTAGGGTTGAAAGTAATCAAGGATTGCTGTAGTCTTCCCTTCTGCCCTGTATGCCCTGAGATTTCTCCAGATAACACCTGCTATCCTCAACCAATCAGATGCAGAACTAAAACCAATTGCTACCAGATCATACGTAACATTTTTCCACATCCTAGGCATATTATTTTACCTTTGTTTTGATTAGTAGTGGTGATTATTAAGGGTTTTTTTTTTCAATGATGATCAATCAAAGTGCACTTCAGAAATAACTTAGTAGTCACACTGTACACTGTACATGTACTTGTAAACATATTGCAAGCATACATGTGTTAAGGAATGAACTTGTTTGCACTCTTTACATCACAATTAACTCAAAATAACATCAATCACATAACTTTTTTATTGTTTATTAATTACAATTTTATAATCTACACTGTATTATACAACAATCATACCTATGGATTACCTACAGTTCTGTGTTACAAAGTACATTATGTTACAGTATTGCTTTGCTACATGTAACTTGGATCTTTTACTAAATACCATAATATATAGCTGAAATGATCATTGAATTCTTACAAGTAGTTTCCTACAAAACACTTTTGTCAGATGTCCTAGAAACATGAAAAGAGCCAAAAACCACAATATATGGTAGACATATTATTCAAATTCAAAAAACAAAAATGAAAGAAAAACACTTCAAATATGTTCATGAACCTGAGTCAAGGGAAAATCACAGAAATGTTCATAGTGACTAGTATTTTGTGCCATTTTTTCCAATTGTTTTTCCATCAATAGATTACAACTTTGATACAAAGCAAGTTTGTTCTGAGATGGTGCTGTTAAGAGACCATGTCATATTTATCACCATGATTATCATAAGAATTTTATGTCAATAGAGTCCCTGAGGATGATGACACCACAGCATTTGGGGAGGTCAAGCAAGGCAAAGACTGCATGGACACCCTAGGGCATACCAGTGGGGGTACTGTGGGGCTGTTTGAATGTCATGGAGCTGGAGGAAATCAGGTTAGTGGCTACTTAACATACAAAGCCTGTATCTTTGATGTACTCATGCTCATACATGTAGTGATTGTTGAATCTAACTGAGTTGCAGATGTGAATTGCCCGAAAAGGCTGCAAGGGCTTTGTTTACCTGTATGTATTAATCATCAAAAATAGATCTTAACTGGTAGAAACATGCAGTTGAATAAAAGTAGCAAATGTGAAACAAATTGAATATATAGGAGAGCACATTCACTAAGTCAGACAAGAGAGAGTTGATGGTATTGGTTGAAATTTTTCACTTAACAGTTGTGGAATTTTGTCAAGAACAAGATGTTGAAACATGACTCGTTTTGTCTGGAAACTGCCAATGAAAAAGAAGGGACCCCAGCACTTTTACGTGAATGTGATGAGCAGAATTCCAATCAGGTATAGTTGAAAAAAGTTTGCCATGTCCATATAAATCCTTATATACCAGATGAATGCTGTCTTGCTGGAAATGTAGAATGCAGTTATTCATGTCTGGCAGTTAACCCTTTACACCTTACCATCAGTATGCATATTCCCCAATCTGTTCTCCCTATATTTTCTAAGGTGCTGATAAGGAGAATTTGGTTATCTATCAAAAGCTTCTTTAGTTGGTGATCATTTCCTTCATTCTTGCGACCTTAATGTTTGATTCAGGGGTAATGTTGTTAGGGAAAATTAGACGCTAGCTAGACACTCATAAGAATCAGAGGATTAATGGTACAGAGCAAAACATGGTTATGTACTGGTAATTTGAAATGAGTTCAGGTGCAAATGATCTCAAAATAATGATCTGTAAGTAGTTTCATTTGGAATCTTCCTTATGTATGGGATATTATAATGTATTTAGAACAAAGGACTATGCTTAACCAGTTAAGAAAAATTTAGACCTGAACTCTATTTTCAACTAAAAATGTATTTATGGCATTTAAAGTGAGACCAAAGATGTCATTTTTGGAAGGAGATTTGGGGTGCAATTAAAATTTTTTTGTTTCTCTATTTTTGTCTTTTTTTTTTTTTTCGATTCTGCTCTCTGTAGCACTGGGAGTATGACAAGGGCTCTAACAGGATTAGACATGTTGGCTCAGGGAAATGCCTGGATAGCAAAGATCAGAAGGAGAAAGGACTTGTTTTAAACTCATGTAGTGACTCATTTACTCAAAGCTGGGCATTTGAGGTGAATCTTTAGCAAGGGTTCCATTACCTAGGATATGAATTTTAAAATTAATTTATATGAAGTTGACTTGCACAATTATTGAATTTTCAATTCTAACTAGCAATTGACTCATGTTCTGGCCGTTTAAATCAACTGTAGGGTAGAAAATATTTTTGTATGTTGTCTTAAGCTGATTTTATATAGAAATGTTTTGTTTTTCCTATCAATGATGGTTGTAAATTTTAACTATTAGTAGTAAAATGTTAGAACTCATATTCTGGTAACATTCTGTACTGTCTTGCACACTTTAACATGTCATTAGCCAATCCTTCATTTGGGGGAGTGCAGGAGTGTGATTACATGTTAGTACATTGTGAATAAGTGAAGACTTTGACAAGTTGGATCATCTGAAAGAGGGTTTGGAAAAGGAATTTGGAGTTTTCCCCAAAATTTTCAAGGCTTACTCTGATTTGCAGAATAATCGAGGTTAAACAAAATATATTAAAATGAGATTTAAAATCTGTACACATGTTTATTGAAAAATGATTGATTACAGAAAATTTATACTGTAGGTAAAATGTAGGTTTTCAATTTTGCCAGTTACAGATTTTACATTTCTTGAGATGCAGATTTTACAAGATCTGGCAGTGAGCAAGCTTAAAGTTCCCTATTATGGTCTGCACCTACATTGTATCCCTCTATTTCTAAGATTGAAAATAATTTCAAATTGTCAGCTGTTTCTTTACATAGTGCAGAAGTGAACTTTACATTTTTATATTTCTTCTCCAATGGTTAAATTATTACCCTTAGAGAACTTTTTCCATGGTCTAGTGGAATGATTATCACAGAAAACTTGCAATTTTTATTTAACCAGAAAGTCACATGCATCACATGTTATCACCACCATTGTGTAAATTTTGCCGAGCAAAAAGATTGTATCAGTATTCAGTTGTAAAAAATGTATTTACATCAGGATTTTCATTGATTTGTCCTGAAATTTAAAAAAAATTGTAATAAGTAATTAGAAGACATTAAAAAAATGTATTAAAATAATTACATTTTCTTGAAAAAATTAAAATCTATTATGGAAGAACTGATTTTAAGATGCTACATTATTGTATTGTCAACCATGAAAGTAGGTGTGTGAAGTCACTGTTGTGGAACTTGGTGTGATTTAACAGCTTCATTATACAAGCAGTATTTTCAGTAGTAGGATGAGTGGATTCAGGTGAATGCTTTGCTCACTAATTTTGGGAAATTGCTGCAATTTTCTCAAATGGAAATTTAATTTCACCTTTGTAAAGCCCACAGGAAGGAGCTGGAGCACAAAAGAAGTGAAAGAAGAAACACTGGACATAGTCGAGTGTTTCTCCCCACTTCTCACTTCTTGAGTGGTTGATGCTCTATACTCTCATAAAGCATGCTACAATAAGCCAATCAGAATCCTTGTAAGAATGGTTGATTCTTGTAAGAATGGTCAGTGAAATCCGGCCAAATTGAAGCTAATAAAAACACACAAATTTTTTACACATTGCAAGTAGAAAACAAACTTCTCAAGGCACTTGTTTTGAATGAATGACAGCTTAATTCACAGGAACATAAATATTGAAAAGATAGAGGGGCCGCATTAGTATTTTTCTTGTTCTGAAACTGCCTTTGTCAATAATAGATGCATTATCAAAGTCTATTGCGTGACTATTGGCCCAGACTAGATTGGCAATTCTTGAGCCTTTTGCCGCGGAAAATGTTTTGCCTCAGAAATGTGAAAACCGCGGCAAAAGGCTCAAAAAGGCGGTTCAGAACAAGAAAAAATACTAGAAGCGTGGCATTCCAAGTTAACTCCCAATGCGGCCAACAATTCCTGTCCTTTGCCCGGACAATACAACATTCTTTTTAACAAGCATTCTTAGTTATCAGCATTTTTAATTTTTACTTTGTACTTCACACCTAGTATATTTTTTACCTTTTTATCGTTTTACCCGTTGAAGGCTGTAGCACAAACAGCCGAAAGCTCGTATTTTTAAAAGTTTTAGCCAGAGATCGTTTTTTAAATTTCATAAAACATAAATATTGCTCAGGATGACAGCACTATTGTGACTGATGTGGCCTTCCACTCAGTGCACTGGAAAGGATATCAGCTGTGGCTCAGCTCTATCTTTATACTCTGATAGAGCATGCTCTTTCAACCAATGGCAGCACGTGTTATATCCAAGCTTTATTATAATAGTCAATACAATGGTAAATTAATGCAGAACTGAAAAAAGTTGGAACGTTTGGGATGTGCTCATACCCATTGACCAACCTAAATGCCAGGGATTTCTTGGTCAGTTTTATTTTCAAGATGATGAAGGGTTTTCAAGATGGCATCTTGACCTGCATTATCTTGAAAGCTGACTGAGGAACCGCTGCAAGTTAAACAACACAGCTGAAGAAAAATCCACATTAAAGGTCAGTTGCTGGTCTGTTTATGATCCTTGTTCTTGTCTATCACAGCTGGTTCTCCTTTCCTCAAAAACAAATTAAACTAAACATTTTGAGTCAAGAAAACTGTTAAACACTGATAATAATGCATTCTTCATGAGCAGTTGGAGAAAGGGGCCAGAGGTGTAATTTCAACTGGAAAGTACGTTTGTAAAAATTTCCCTACAAATAAGAAGAGATACTTGATCATTCAAGGATGTAGGTGCATGCACAATGTAATACTGCTGGTCTGGCTTGGTGTGTTAAGGAAATCTTAGAGCTTTGATTCATCCTGTCGTCAAAAGCTCCAGCCCTAGATGCCGCAGATTGCTGCCCATCTTACCAAGTGGGTAGTCATGCATTTCCAAAATGAAAAAGCACACAACCCCAGGCCCCACCTCTCCCAGGGGCACATTAACCTTTTCATTCCCATGATCAGTGACTAACAGGTAATTTCTCATTACAATATTGATTGATTGACAAGTTTATTTATACCCGGTAAAAAATTCCTTCTGCCTAATTGACGAGCAGCTAGTGGAAATTTCTACTATCAAAATAATATAAAAGTTAACCTGTCATGTCCTAAGGCTACTTTTTTTGGATGCCGTGACTCATTCAGAGCTGTGTTGCAATTGAATTAATTTGAGGAAGCAACAGAAAGTGGTCGTTAGGATAGGCTGTTCCACACCTCAGCATCAATCTTTGTGAGAGAAACTTCTTTTAAGTACATGGTGAGGGGCTGTAGACGAGCTAATTTGTCTTTAGAATACCCCAATCAGTAAGGTATACTTTTATCAATATATTTTCACTTATAAAGGTGGTCAGAGGAGAGATAGACATAAGATTAGGAGATATTGCCTGCTTCAACCCTGTTTTCTGCCAAAGTTGTACAAAATGTATTGCAGGAAAAACAATGAAGAGTTATAAACATTTACTGAGGGGGATGGGGTACTAGGATTTAATATCCAAGTTGTCTGAATTGTTCTCCAAAGCTAAAGGATATGGTATTAAGAGTGTATTTCCTTAATGGAAAACTCACAATATGATTTGATTGGAGACTTATTCAGGCCTTTAAGTACAATAGAGTAATACCTAGCCCAAATTACTGGCAGTAGAACTATTACTTTGGAGTGTTGTTATCAGGGGAAGAAGAATTAGACTTTCAGAAATGTGAGCTTTTTAAAAACTTGAATTTCTTAGCATAGGATGGGAAGGCTTTATAAAGAGAGGAAAGCATATAAAACATTTACTGTTCACCTAACTTGTCCCTTGTTGCTAACCTTTACAAAGAAGTGAGAAAAGTTTTTAATTCAGTTTGTCAATTGTTGAACAGAGACAACTAATCATGACTTCAGGGCACTCAGGTCTTAAAAAAACTAGTCTACCACATGCCTCTCAATGATGGTTGTATTAAGGGCTTATTATTTGTTAACAATGACAGTTCAGTTGAAAAGACATTATCATAATAACTTTCATTCCACACATTCAAAACAAATACAGTTTCCATTAATAATAATTAGTGGATCACATGTAGGTCTTAAATGTGCTACTAAGTATATAAGGTGGTCCAAATCTTAAGTGAATACACTTAATAAAAAAAATGCTTTTTTTTCACACTTCTTTCTTTGCTGTTCAATATCGTAATCTAAAGCAATGGAAGCTTAAGTTGAAACTTAATGGAACAATTAACCGAGTAAACATCGAACCACAACAACGACGTACATTTAAATGGGAGTCTTAATTAAAAAAAAAAAGCCTCAGTCCATCGACATCATCCACTTAAAAAAAATGAAAATCCCAAGAAAATAAGTGAAGACATTACAGCATGTATTCGCAACGATGCAGCAGTATGCACGGCATAAGTAATCAGTTGCACTTGCAAAGCACACGCTTCCAATTCATGGTCTCCTCCTTTGCCAAATTTGCTGTTTCTTTCTCTTCCTGATAAACTCCTCCATGTTTGGGTTATCCTCGAGGAATTTTTGAAACTTTCTGAGATGAAACTGCCCGTTTTGTCTTAGAAATAGTCCTTCGTCGCCATTTCTCTGTTCCTTGGGCAATTCTTCGCTCACAATCGTTATCGGCTTTATATCGAGTAGATGTTTGACAGATCGTAATGTCCCATTGATCGTGGTTGTATTCTTTTGAATCACAGTTTGATGTAACTTTCCTAGTCCAAGCGCCTTGATGGTTCTTTTTTCCCACCATGGTCGGCCAATGCAGCTTCTGACCTGAGTTACAGCGTGAAGTTTATGTGCCACGGCTCTCCCTTTAGACGCCATGTTGGAGAATGCAGGCTCAGTAAGGTAGCGGATTCCTCTCAAACAACTCTCTCGTGAATGTATGCATTGCTCTATTGTCCGCATTAAACAGATCAGTATGCAGCGGACACCTCTCAAGATCATTGCCACACTCATTGTTCGTCCCTGTCAAAGAGTTTATAAAAAAAGCTACCTAACGAAGAGGATGGCTTTGATAACAAAAAGCAGTAGCAATCCTGCTCGTATCTTGCTGGGAATACTACCTGAAATCCCGCAGACATTGTTTATCAAAATTATGCGCAGAATTCAGTCAGGGATCATTACTAAGAGCAAAGGTATGTCAAAGAAAATTGTCAAGAACCTTTAGCATCAATCCACGACCAATAAATGATTAGTATCGATAAAAACGAGCGAAAATCTAACAATGTTGATTAATTTTTACTCGTACTTAAACTTGCCATGGATCAATATCAAAAAGGAAAAACTGGCAAGTTTAAATCTGAAGTTTGGCTTTCAAGGTGCTGACTGCTGAATGTTAAAAAATAAAAATGGTTCAGTTTAGTGAAACTATCGTTTTGCAGACCTTTGGAGTGTGTTCCTACAACCGTTCTGTTTTATCTTAAGAGAACATTCCACAAATCCCTTATTCATAAGTTTTGTTCGATTTCAAGAGATAGCCAAATCGAATTTGCAAGAACAACGTCTTTTGATCAAGATAATTTGTAAAAGAAAGAACTTATTTACAACTAGATAAAAGCTCCAACAAATACCAAAAAATTGGAAAGTGCTAGATATCTGGCAAAATAGCAGCTTTATAGTGGCTTATAATACTCCTCAACCCTAAAGAGGGATAATCGATTCTTAAACGTTCGTAGTGTGGAGTTGTTGAGGTCTGTTTCCACTGACTTCGATGGGAGCTTCAGTGGTGTATTCAGAATCTGTTTTCATTGCCGAAGATACAAAAAAAAAAAGGGCTGTTAACATATTGGAATAAAGTCAAAGTGTCCTTTAACTACAGAATGAACGGGCTTCAGTTTATCATAAGCACGGAAAGTGACTGTTCCGATGGGTTACTTAGGGATCACAGTTTTTGCAAGCTAACTCGCAAAAAACAAACCAACAAGCACAGACAGAAAAAACAAGACAAACAAAATAAAAACAAGACCAAAACAAACGAACAAATAAAACAGAAGTAAGAAAAACAATCAAACCAAAGAGATTGGCATGGCCCTCATCTTGGATAAGCACATTACCTCGATTAATGACTTGAAGTTGAACTTGATCTTGATCTTCCAAATGGTCTATCTTGTTCCTGCGCATGCTAATGACTTTGCCACAGATCCCGGCCCTACAGAGGCCGGGCACGTGACGTACCACAGACAACCCACTCTTTATATGCCTCCAGACCTTGGAGTCCTGTCTTTTCAGCAGAAAGAAGGTTAAAATGAGAACGGTCAGGATTGCAATACAAGACTGCAAAAAAGGAAAAAGGAGTCACATGTAACTAACTGTCCATGTCCAATAAAAACAAACACCACAGGAAAACAGTCAAGTTTTATCGTTAACACGCTAGGTCCCCGGGCTGAGGAATTCCTTAGCCTGTAGACAAGGGGATTATAGGAGAGTGAGGCCTTTATCTAAAACTCACAGCGAATTAAAATGCGAAAGATCATTAATTTATTCTCTTTTCTGTAATATCGCCCAGTTTCAATATATAACGTATATAGTATGCTTTTCTTTGGTTGAAGACCTGATTTAGTTGTACTAAACATGGAAAACGTAAACTGCTAAAGGATTTAAAATATGAGGAAACTTTGGTATGCAACTCTAAGTAGCCCAACAACTATAATTTGCAAGTTTCTTACTAAGGGGAGAGGAAAGAAGATGGAGAGGAGATGGGGCAGCTGGGAAACGCATGCTTTGAATTTCTTACCAACACAATAAGGGATGATGGGTTGAGTGAGCCTGGGGGTAAGCCGTGAACTCGGATCAGGAATCGAATAGTATAGTCACAGTTTGATGAATCAGCATCTACGATCCTAAAAATTAGAGACAAGAAAAATTAGACGCATCCTTGATTTAAAACAAACCGAGGCGTCTAATGACACCAAAAAGCAAAGGCGGCGAAATACCAGACTTTGATGCAGCTTACCTGTTTGAAAATTCCAGCTTGAAATAATACTCAGCATTCCCGGGAAAGGTTGGGCCAATATCTGCACAAGGGCTCTGTGTACCACACAACCAGCTATAAAGATAGTAAGAAGACAGATTCACGCAGTCAGTAAGTCAGTTTAAGTATTCTCGTTCGTTTCTGTATCAGTGTCCATGTAAAGGACTATTCATTTTTTAGGTTAAGGCTGGTTTCTTATCATTGTCCATGTCACTGATGATAGCGATGCCATGGTCGATGTCAAAGTCAAAGCCACTGTCAAAGTCGATGTCCATCTCAATAAAATTTCGAAGTCTATTTCAAGGTTCTCAATACTAGCACTGTTACTGCTTTGGTAACCTGGACATACCGACGGAAGATTATCGCACGTTTATCATAACTCAGCTCACTAACCTTATACCATTTGTCTTGCTATCAAAAACGGGAATATCTCCCAGCGTCTTTAATTTAGATGCCCAGATCAAAGATGCCATGGAGCTACAAAAGACATGCGATCAAGAAGTCTTGCAATATTGGAGCAACTTATATCTACAATGCACGAAGACAGGCAATAAAGTAACCGGTATAAATAGAGAGCAATTTCCAGTGGTGCGTCCAAAATAATCCGGGACTCTGTTGGTCTTGCTTAACTAAATCATGAGGTAGGTTACGTGATCTCGAGCTATCCTGTTACAAGACTAAACCCAATCAGAATTCGGCCATTAGTGTTTTTCACGCGTGTTTTCCACAGCGGTGGGGGATGAGAGCTGTCCCGACTGCACCACTCCCGCCCCCCGTTGCAGGTGGTATCGTTCTTTATTATGATTTGCTGTTACAATGTTGGTTTTTGATTCACCACACTTAGTCTAACACTGCTCTTTACAATTAATGACACTCGCCACCTACTAGGAAGCCCCTTGATAAATATTTGAATTTTTGATTGCGTGAAAATGACCGCAGATACCTTGTTGTTTGGTAGTTATACATAGTCTGTTCCTCTTGTGAGTAATCTGTTATTGACTGATAGGTTGGTCCTCCTCCCACAATTTTTAGATAATATTTTCCATAGAACTGGTTAACCTGACCTGTGGCTAAGTCTAATACTCTAAACACTGGTGAAAAATCTGCCATTGAGAAAGCATTCATCAGTCTCTTCTGAAAATATTAAATAAGAAATGCAAGCAAGCACCAGAAATCCTTGTAATCTATATGATGTTGTCTTAGATAAAGTAATGTATCTTAATTGGAAATGAATCAAATGTTTGGGAATGGAGCGATACAATTAAATCAACGATTGAATGACCTTTGCATTGAATTAGGAAAATGTGGCTCGCGCTTGCTAAGAATGAGTTTCTATTTCAGGTTTCTAAAGGCGATTCAAATTTTCAGAATTTACTGCAAAGGTCATTTCATCATTGGAATTAATTTCAGTTTCAATAAAAATACTTACCTTTCAAGTTTTATGGTCTAGTAAATCAACTGCATGAATGAGATTATATAATATAACTTGTGTCTCAGGTGCGTTTAGAGCTCGGGGCCGGGTTGTTCAAAGCTGGGTTAAGATAACCCAGGGTTAGTATAAAATTTTATATAAGATCTGAAAGCTTGAAAAAAAAAATTCAGCTTAAATCTCTTTGTCCTCAATTTGTTGATTGAATGCTCTAAAAATAAATGAAGAAAATTGTCCTCAAACAGTTTTTGAACAGAGAAATATAGAAACCTAGATTAAAATTTAACAGTGGGCTAGCGCTAATCGGCCTTCGAAGAACTGGGCCCAGAGCATCAAACAACTCAAAGCGAGATGGAAAATTCACGAAAATACAAAGTTGGCTAAAATTGAATGCCAACATTTGTAACCTTACCTCGGTAAAAATAAAAGCATGGAATCCCGTGAACGGCAGAACAATAGTGCTTTTTACTCGAAGAGTTTTTTGAGGCCTCAGGATCAAAGTAAATCTTCCGACCCGCGGGACACCCGAGGAGCACAGTCATCACGTAGGAGCCCTTAACAAGAGATCAGTGTAAGCAAGTTTTAAGAGAGAGGTAAGATGCTAGATAAATGTTAGTCTGGAGCTGAGGAGGTACCGTAGTGCCCATCTTAATTCAATAGGCAAGGATGCGGTTTTAGACACGGCCTGCATCAACACCTCGTATAACGGGGTAATTTTGTATAATTAACTTAGTTGATAACGTAAATTGGCCACCGTAAAGAATTAAAAGACTGACGTTTCGAGCGTTGGCCCTTCGACAGAGCGATTGGAGGAATTTTGGTTTGTTGTTGAGAAAACAAGAATAACTTTGTTGAATGAAAAGCGCTCGTTGATACCGTGGGGACTAAGAGTGCCGATTTGAAAGGTAAATTTTTGTTCTTGAGTTTTGCACTTTCCGGACTGCCTAGATGTGGGAAAAGGCCGCAACCTGCCATATGCTTCTTAGAACGATTAGGGAGATTTAAGTGTCTAGCGACTGGTTTGGATGCGTCCTTGTCATTTCTTTCTACGTCGCGAAGGTGTTCTCGGAATCGTCGCCTAGTCGTCTTCCCGTTTCAGCCAGGAAGGTGCACCCGAAGTGATCAGTGATCTTAATGAATCTCTTGGGTCCCAAAATTTTCTCATCGCTACGAATGAAAGGACAAGATTTACATTGTGAGCGAGCGTATTTGAAAGTTCCTGGTTGGTCAATGGTTTAAAATGAACTTCTAACCAAAATGTCGCCTACGTTTTTGTTACGTTTGCATGAAATTAGCGGAGGTTGCGAAAAGATAGTACCAGACTCTGATAATACCAGTCTCAGAGACTGGTAATATCTTTCCGCTTTTTATTCAACTAATTTATTCTTGTTTTCTCGTTACCATATTCCCACCAATAGCGTCGCTTCAATTTCGGCATATAAACCCACACTCAACCAACAATTCCTCCAATCGCTCTGACGAAGGGCTAACGCCCGAAACGTCAGCTTTTTCACTCTTGACGGTGGCCACGTATTATGACTTGTTATTTGGAGTGGGGACCGAAAACGAAGGCCACTGTGAGACAGGCATCTCTAGGAATTCCTTCTGCGGCGATCTCGCCCGACTATTTCACGTTATCCTATTTCTTGTCAGGAAATTTTATGGTCATTACCTGAATGGATCCCCTACTACCAGAATTGGTGCTACAAGACAGACCAGAATTCCAGATCTGAAAAAGACGATGACAAACTTAGATAGGCGATGGACTTCTGAAAATAGAGAAATCAACTTCATTTTATGGTCTGTTTGGCTCGCAGTTCTGTTTGCGTACGGAGTGCGCTTCGAAACGTCCGCAAAAAAACGAGCTTTTCAATGAAATATTCTGTCACCAGATGACCAGGATAAAGATTTAATGAATGGTCTGTATGTTGAGTCACACTAATGCGCGCGATAACCGCTTATAATTTGCGCCAGTTTCCACATTGACTCCACTTAGAGTATTACAACTTCCTGTACTCTTGGGTGCAAAAAACCACTGTGAAAATATCATGCCCAAGAACCATAACACAACCCAAAACTTCCTATCTAACAGGTTAATCGCTTGGTCAACGCATTTTTAAAATCGATTCCAGCTTCCACGGTGACTGCACTGAGAGCAATACAACTTCCCACTGCCACGTTGCCAGTAAGCATTTATTCCTGTACTCCTGAGTAGAAAGACGCGCTGGGAAAATAAACTTTCCTGCCCAAGAACCTAAACACCAACCAGAACATCCTATCTGGAGTCTAGCGCGCTAATCACTAGACCAACGCGTTTTTCACTTGCTCTTAGCTCCTTGCTAAATGGTTTTTATTTACCTGAATATGTAAAGATGCTGGAGTGAGTCTCTCGCCTGGGCAGAATTGTGGAAGTTTAAACCCTGAATCCTGCACTGTCACCTACGTGATTGGGATAAGTAGTTAAATAAATTTATTAGTGGTAAGTATCTACTTTTGGTAGTTTGTGGGACTACAAAATCCAAATGTCTGCGGCTCGAATCCTTCTTGAGAACTCTTCTTCATACCATACTCTCTTCTATTCTATGGCTGAAATCAAAATTATGTCATCATCTCTCTGAATGTATTTACCAAATTTAATCATATCATTTGCACGTACCCTACAACCCCGACTTGGGGTCTTGCTCTATGAAAACATGCTCTTATAAGAGAAATTGCACTCATACGCTAGAAAAAAATTGCCTTGGTTTGTAGACGCAGTAAACTTAGTGTGCGATCTTGTTGCGTTTAGTTAACAGAATATTGTCGTGTGGTTAGGAAAAGTACGTTTAGTCATCAACTTGTTTTAAAACGGTTTACCGTTTCATTTCTCTTGCGACGCAAGGATACAAAGTCAGTATAAACTTCCGACGTTCGAGCCACAGGCTATGCATGGTAAAAATGATGATAGTGAAAATGATGATGATAATTTCATTAACAATGGTAAGGGAAATTATGATTACGTTTACGATTATAATATCAAAGTTAATTCAACATTCGCATGAAATAAGCACCAACCATAAAATGATCCAACTCTGTCGTCATTGTGAAGCAAAATTCATGTTTAATCCGAGATCGACTTCAACTAGTCTATTCGCGAACATGACAACACTTCACCACATGGTCATCTATCTATTCGACTCTTACCTCATATCTAACGGCTTTTTGAGGGATGAGTTCTGATCTTCGAGAAGTCACATTTAAAATGGTAGCGTCTGAGAGGTGTAACGAGGCGTGGAGATGATCGAGACTCCAAGAATGTGAACTAGTGTCTGTGTAACAAAGATATTTTGATTTTGGTGAGTCGTTTAAGTTGCGATAACATTCTGAGACTGAGACTAAGTTTAACATTCTAGAGCTAAACCACTCCTTTTTCTTAACTGCTGCTACTACCAAGAAAAATTAAACTACCAAACATTAAGTTTCCTTCCTTGAAAATTTTCAATACCGGCTAGATCAAACCTACTCAGCAGAAGAAATCGCCAATCCGGGAAATTTCTGTTCATTCTGTTTTCTATTTTTTTCCTTTTAGTTTGGACTATTTAGCACCCACTGGAAATCTTATTTTTAGACGCTTAATGAAATCACTCTAAAATTGATTTGGCACTAGAAAATTTGAATTGAAAAAGCAAAGAGAGAGAGAGAGAGAAAACGAGTGAACACAGAGCGAGAGAGGCTAGATCAGTCTCACTACGGTTATCTACAGATATCTCTCGAACAAGAGTATTTTCGTTCGCATGAGGCCTAATCTCGATGTCACGAACTGAGTGAGGGCAGCAAAAAGGCAGAAAGCGTGGAGAAGAAACAACTTCGAAAGAGGAAGATATTCATGTGGTACACAACTGGGAATACGTCCTTTCCCGTCCATTTAAGACGGGCATATCTCAGCTGACGTTTGTTTCCCTTCACTTCCTTATTTTGCCCAGATCACAGCTCACCTACTTGAAATTCATTCTCCAAATAAAGATAAAACACAAACGAGTACCACTCCGATCGCCCAAGATGAATCAAATCTGGCAAAACGTCCTTGATATCCAGTGCCTCTTCTTGACTAATACCAGTGCAGTCTGAATTCACAGCCTTTTCTACTTCAGAGAAAAATTCACGAAGTATGGTATTGTTCTGAATTACTTCGCTGGCGTTGTAGACAGCCGGCTCAAATTTGTAAAAACATTTCCTTGTATAAAGCACGTCGTGTTTGGCTTCAAATGTGATGCGCGAGAAAGGACATGTGCGTACAACACTGTTGAGCTGCTTCAGATCGACGTATGCTTTTTTGAGGCAGAATGCTGAATAGGTCTTGGATTTTTTATACTTTTGAATATTTTCCTCTCGTGTTTGAGAGTATAACTGCCTAGATATGGTTTGGCCAAGTAGGATCTCTTTCAGAAAGATACACATTGTTTCATGTCCATCACTGCCTTTATCAGCAACAATCTGTCAAATCAAATCAGTACTAAACATCGTTCTCTGTTCGACAATCAAACTCAAAATTTGTTTACTTGTGTCTTTTAGTATCAAGGTAAATAACAAAAGGCTAGCTACACAAGGTTAATATCCTTGTGCTTTTCCGCTAAAGATATAAAGTAAAGTCTGGAGAACTTCAATATTTTCTAGTCCTTGCAGACCTTCTGCGGATTTGATTATCATGAGCTCTTTCTAGTATTAAAAGTAAAACTTCATTCAACATGATAAATCATTTGCTGTCAATTTTAGAGGCTGAGTCACCTTCAAAATAGTAAAACACCAGAGAGCTATTGGGAATTAAGTTAATATCACTGATATCTTTCTTATTTTTTACAGAAACCTCACGCACTCATTGGATCTTTTTTTACCACCCATTAAACCTATACAACTGTACATAAATTCACTCACATACTAACTTGTCAAACGTGACCCTTATGCGCTGAGCACTGACCTGCTGTAACCTCCCAGACGAGTCAAAGAATATCGATACAACAAATGAATTATTTTGGCCGTGGAAATCTGGAGTTAGCCCCTTGGTTCCTACGCTGCTGTGAAGCCGCTGGACAATTGGCGAGCCAAGCTGACCAACCCACAGCTATGATTGTAACGAATCAGAAGGAAAGTTTTACTACTTGTGTACATGTGACTCATCTTAACAATTCTAATGTACAGACGCCCAGAAGCAAATGACAAAAAGATAAACACTTGCCATATCGCTGTTAGCCCTTTCACCCCAACATCAGAATTCATATTCTCCATATCTACCATATCTTTGCTTTAAATTGCCTTTGTAACTGACCAGGCAAACTAGTTTAACTCTGAAAGCTTCTTAGATTGGCAATCATTCCTTTTATTCGCATGACCTTGACGTGCTACCTCAGACAAAAAAAAGTTATGGAAATTTTTTTTTGAATTTACTTAAATGTTTGCTGCAAATGACTGCTTCGAGACATACATTTTAAAAGATAGATCACCGTGCTTGTTTGAGTGATATGATAAGCCAAACTCTCCCCATTAATTCCTGTTCTGAAACTGAACATGCGCGTTATTTAATCGGTTCACGCCACATTTTGAAGTAGCTGGATGCACAATGCAATAGTGAGGAATCACCTCAGGGATTGATTCACCAGTGGCACTTTCAGGAGAATTTAGACGCTGGTCACTTTTATGATTTAAAAGGTTGATAGGGGGATGAACAGTTTTTTAAAGCAGATGACTGGAACTTAAAAAAATCCTTTCACCTTTTTGGGAAGTAACCCCGGCTCGATAAATCAGAACATGAGATGAGGCTATGCTGATCGAATCTCACCTCATGGCTGTCTGTAAGGAATGCAAAAGTTCCATCGAAAAGAGATGTCGTGAACACAGTTATAGTGGAATTGCCAGAAAAGGATATCAGCCAATGAACTGTAATCCCGCTGTCTGGACTGGAAAATATTTGAAACACACTTTCAAATCTTTGACCACAGAGAATCACGGTTTCCTCTGGTGCCTAACCTTTTAAAGAGTTAAGTCTAGGTCGCAGTTGACTAAATAATTAAAATATAGAAAAAGAACAAAAACACCAACACATTCAATGATATTAATAACAAGAGTATAAAAATCAAAAGCAATTACATTACTAGTGGTTATAGCAATGATGGTGGTTATGATTTATATGGTGATAATGATAATAATAATAATATATTACACCGAAGTTTCGCTATTGTTTTCATTATTTGCCACAGCTCTTTCCTTCTTCATCCCAGGAAGTTTGATGGTTATAGATTAATCAGTAATCGCGGACTAAAAGTAATATCAAAGATACCTGAAAAATAGAGCATTTCCCCAAATAAATAATCTGTCACAAGCGATTGCAGTGAACGAAATGCCTGTAAGTGACAGGGAGGCAGCCTCAGAACCTTCAGCGGTTAAATTGGATTCGATTCTCTGCCAATTTTCACTTTCTGGAAAGAAACAAAGTTGGCTTCATAAAAATGATCTTACTTCATTCAGCACAGTGCACTGATGCATACTGACACACTTAAATACTGTGAAGCTTACTGTTGTTGTCGATTCATGACAGCTTTCAGTTCTATAGAAGCCAAAATAAACATTGAAAAACAACAATAACCCAACCGTAATGCCTCGAGTGCGGGAACACACGAAAAATCAAGTCGTGATCGGTTTTAGGTTTGCATCCGATTGGTTGAGAGAATGGTGCGCGTTTTCTGGACCAGTCACAGAGCGAATGCAATCCCGGATTATTTTCATCACTAAATTGAAAATTGGCCCATTGGTACTCCCTCCCCAACCCCTCCCCCCCTAAACGAAAGCACATAGCTGTTACGCCAGTTCATTTCGTACAAACTTGATGAACTCACCCGTTTCCGCAAGAGACTCAAGCGATGTAGGGAAGTGAAAAAGTGCTTTCCATTCCATGGAATCTGCTGTATCACAACGCAAACGAAAAAACAAATGTGCCAAAAAAAATAAATAAACCATAACGAGATAAACAAACCTGGCACACAAAACAAACAGGAAAACGATTGTAAAAGCAAAGGTTATCATAAGAGATGGTTATCATGATTTCAAACGCCTGGTTCTGCGACTCATTTGAAAAGTGAGGCCCTGATTCCGTAGGAAGGAGTCATAACAAATGCGTCGGATCTGTGTTACTTCCCTTAATGCAAAATCAGGATTCGAAATTGCAGGGTTGAAGAGACTGTAGATACACAATGCACTGTGTAGATAAATTACCAGGGAAGATGTTTGACGAAGTTAGAGTTTGATCATTGGAATAATAAGTCATCTGGTAGTAGTGCTTAAAGAGCATAATTTTAGAAGTAACTAGTGCTCGGACATTACCAAAGTAGGGATTCTTTCTTTACTGTCAGAGCTCTCTGGTAACGTAAACCTAACCTCCTCATAAAACGAGTGTGGTGACAGGCCGTTGCCTATTTTGAATTCAGTAAAAAATTTCCTCCCGTGAAATGAATAAAGAAATGTAGACTAATTACCAGAATATAATGAGAAAAAATTGACAAAAAATCAGAATGAGCATCTCATCTACAGGGACTTTCGTTTTCATTTAAAATTGTTTTAAGCTAGAGAACAACTAGATGCCTCTGGAATGTTCCCCCGTAAAACTGCGCCAATATTGCAAGTATCAAACGTAATTTTAACCTTTATATACTTACTTTCAAACTGCAGGACATGAAATGTTTCTGTATAAGCAGTCTTAAGCATTACAAGAACAACAAATGATCCCGTCTTCACACCATTAATGCTGCCTGAAATCACTTGACACGAATAACTTGCTAAACAAAAAAAATTAACAAAACAAACTGAAAAAGACATAGTACTTAAATTCACTTGTCACTTTACGATGCAATTTTAAAAGTCAGTTTTCAATCAACAATCCTCGATATTTGATTCTCAAGACGTCCTTCGGACATGATTATAAAGTTACCCGTCACATAAAACGCCCAGAACCAGACGCAAAAGTTACAGATTAACTGCTCGTAATGTCATATGCAATGACATATGGTCAGAATCATCTGAAAATGGACGACACCGTCTAATATCAGACGAATGAGTCCAATATCGAACGGAACCGTCCGATGTAATGGTACTCGTCCACAATTGAACGGAATCATTTCGGATCGGACGAGTCGTCGGAAATTGGATAGATAAATCCCAATTAGACCCAGCCGTCTCAACTTATCCAGTGTTACAGTTAGGAAGTCTACGACTTATTTAGGCATCAACGCAGTGAAGCACAGTTATCTTTTACCTGCATTGTCAAGAAGAGTATTTACGAATTGGCAGACATTTTTACCACTTGAATCCCTCTGCTCCGTAAAGTTTGTAGGTTTGCCTAAATTAGACACAAAAATTAATAATAGCTGATTAAATAAAAAACTACACAAGCATAGACACGTTTTTCATCAAAAGACCCCGGCGTAGATGACACGAATGGTTCGCTAGTCAGAAATTATTTATAAAATTTTGATGTGTTAAAGGCCGTAGTGAGGTAACCTTTCTGCAGCACTGCCATGAAGACTCTCTCTTTGTCCTGTTCATCCCCAAAACCCAATACTGTCACTGTATGGATTGATGACTGAACTGGACCAATCATTTGACTAATGCAAGCATCCAATACAAGCGTAAAACCATCTGCTGCTAAAATGTAATCATACAGTCAAGTTTCTAATTGTAAAGTAAGTGGTATGAGCCTAATGAATTAACATCAGCTTGTGAATTAGTAGGATACATTCAGTAGGGGAAGGTTTACAAAGAACATTTGACCATAACAGAGACAAGCTTCGACAGCCGGTGGAGAGGTTCTCATTGATAATTATGATAATTATCATCCCACTGATTAAAGCATCAGTCAAAGAAACTAAAAATAGTTTTTATCAGTCTTCCTCTTAACTACTCTACCTGGACATGATCATAATATTCTGCAATATAGTAATATTTCAAGCAAAAAAGATAATGAAATATTTCGAGAAAACTTGAAGGTTGCTTGTGTCTGGCCTCCAGTTTTCTCTACAGTGCTACTGGTAAGGGTGTAGAAAGTGTGATGGGTTACTGCACTGCAGTAGTGCGACACAAGTTTTGCTGCACAGATTTCATCGGATTATCCAAAAATGTCAATGCAGGTCAAAATAAGGTTGAGATTAATGAGGTGGAGGTAAAAGGGAAAAAAAAAAACTCAAAGATACAGAAATATTGCACATTAAAATACTCAATAACAACATACTTACATGTGACATCAGCAGGATTTTTTTGGTGATTTGCTTGCAGCTCAAATATACCAGCCTTTAGATGAAAAATCAGTATATCTTATTCCTTACCCCTCTTTTGCCCTAAAATTTCATTTTAATTAAGTACAATTACCTAAAAAATGTATAAATTTCATCTTTCATCTGCAAATGAGAGAGTACATATGGCTCTTTTATCATAGAAATGGCTGGTTTTTAGATCATGACCTTTTTTATAGCAATATAATTGTCATATTATATTAGTTGCTATACTTTTACTATAAAAAAATATTAAAAAGTAAAAAATATTCATTCTTACACCAGTATTCACAAGAACTCTGTCTGGAAGTGACAGTGCTCCCTTAATCTTCAGCAGCTTCTCAGACTGTCTTGATACACATCTATTATTGAATGTGTCTCCAAACTAATGAGAGATACAATAAAATGGACTCAGAACTTATCTCCTCTATAACCAGAAACAGAAAGAAAACCTGAAGGTTCATATGTTCCTGACAACAATGAAGCAAAATTCATTTCTGCCATGTAAGCCTTACTACAGTCCACAATATGCAGTGCAAAAGAAAAATCTTGTTGCAGAATTCTTCTTAATTTAAATGCTTTCCACGGAACAAATTTGGTTACATTGACTCTGTTTATACCTTGTGACTTTTATATTAACCCTCTAACTCCCAAGGATCTGATTGTTAATTCTCCCCTCTATCTACTACACATTTCCCTGTAAAATAGCTACAAGAATTTGGTGTTAGATCAAGATAACGACTTAAACCTGGATGGTCTGAGTATTCTTATTACCCGCTTGCTGGATAATGTACGGATATTGGAGGGAGAAATTGAATGTGAATCCCTTCTGGGAGTTAAAGGATTAATCTTGGGTAATTTGTAAATCAGAATCATAATGTATGTAATTATCTCAGCTTATTTTAATTCAAACTACACTTTGTACAATTATAACACACTTTTTTTTCATAAAATTGCCTAGATGAAACATCTCACACTGTTATGAAAATCAGGCACTGTTATAACTGTAAGTGAATTGAAGAGTATTAAAGTGTTTTAAGTTTACACTCACTTTGATCTTTAAAAATGTCATCTTTTCAAATTCAGAAGCTGTATAGATGACATGGTTGGACATTTCTATGGATCCAGTGACACAAATGGGACTCAGGTGTGGGACACAGTTGATTGGCATTTGCTGGGAAATTGATGGTAGCTGTGCCTCCTCTCCAAGACTGTTGCGGAGTCTTGTGTTGTTGACAAGGTAGTGAAATCCATCCAGATGTACAGTTAGCCTAGTGTGAGATATAAGATAACTGCCAACTTCAATTTCTTGGAGAATTTAAAATATTCCTAATATCCCCATCTGATAAAGAAGAGAGAAAATGGAAGGAAAGAAAGTAACTGCTAGGTACCTATGAAAAGGTTAAATATGATCAAAAAAACCTTTACCTTTTGAAGTGGCTGAGAGGACAGCAGTTCATATAAATTCAAGTTGTTTTTAGTTGAGTATGAAAATAGAAAAATTAGTTTTAGTTCAAGTCAGTTGGCAGTAGCTCCTGCAAAAGGCCCTTCAAGCTTAGCCACCAAACAAGGGTCATTGAGAGGTAATCAAATTAAAGTAATTTATTTAGTAAGTTGTAAACAAATGACCAAAAAAACCAAGAGCCCAATTTAAAAAGAATTCCAGCCCATAGATGTGTCTTTAGCTAGAGTGTTTTCACTTGATATCACAGCAGCCGTATTGGTGTTCCAAAAAATGAAGAGTTGCCCTTATTGGTGTTCCAAATCCACTTGGGGATTAAACTCTTTTAAAATGGAAATTCTTTTTTTATTTCCATAGAAAAATAAGATAGCTGGTCACGTTGGTTATAAAACAGCAGTTGATTGTATTAAGAAATTATTTAGCAGTAAAACTATTTCCCCACCTGTGAGATTCTAAGTATGGTCCTATGCCACTGTAGACAACCTCACAGTGCATAGTGAGTACCATTTCAGGGATGTGAAGAGGAACTAGCCAGGCTGGGTTACACAGTTCTATGAAACTTGAACAATTAGTTTCAACTTTGCAGCATTCAACTCCAGCTTCTACTAGCTGAACATCCTTTGAGTACAAACAACTAGGCAGAGCACCATCACAACTGCATTGGCTTAACCTGGAATGCAATGTAGCAGTTATTTATGGCTTATGTAAATAAGTGCTGCCAGACTGCCACAATAGGCCAGTCTACAGCACTTCATACTTTGATTCTTTTTTTTGTCTTCATTATTAACTGTATTTTCAACCTTTCAGGCAGAATAACAGACATTTAATCCTTTAGAGACAGTGATCTCAATTTGAGACCTTTGTATGTCCTGAATGCAACAACACAAGTCAATAATTAAACTTATTTAGTCAATCTGTCAATCGATCTAGCAGGCAAGTAAGCTCTAAAATCAATCAACAGGATAAATGTACAAAAATTAAAGAAAAAAATACACATTATTGGGTTGTTTCTTAATACACATTCTCTCTGAATTCTCTTTTTCTCTGAGCAGCCAGAGGTATCATGATAAACACACTTCCCAGGTGAAAACAAGCCCCTAAATCATACTTTTGGAATTGGGCATTAATCTTAACCATAAGAGCCTCATGTGGAATTTGAAAATATTCAGGTTACCACTATCTGTGCCAAGACTGCCAGTAAGGACTGTAACCCATAACACCTGTCAGGGCTGAGCTCACTTTATCTTGCCTTGCTTGCTGTCACCATGCACTTGGCCATGTATTGCACTGCTATGGGTTATATCTCCAAAGTAACTTTAATAGCTGCTCTAGAAGTTATTGACAGCTGTACCTGCAGCCCTTGAATTTGCATTCCAGGGTGGAAGATTTATTTAAAAAAGTAATGAAGATAATAATGAATGAGTAGTACTATTACTATTACATGTAGTTTTGGAGGCACCTGTCATTGTTTTTGGTTCTATTGATGAAGTAACATCCACAAGTGTCTTGTTCTCCCATTTCTACCAACAATGATGATATCAAGAATGAAAATCTCCTGGCTTTATGCTGGCTTGGGCCAAATGGTTCTGTTTCAATGCGAACAGTGGGATTGACACCTGTCATTATCAATGACCTCACCATCTTGGAGTCAATCTGTATGGAGGAAAAAATTAATGCAAACCAAAAATAGCACTAATGCTAATTAAGTAAGAAATTAAATTAATTAAGTAAGAAATTTTATTTCCTTCCTTAGTGAAATACTCACTAGAGTACAATAAAGAAAAAGAGGAATAATTTAATCCAATATGATCGCTTAATCCATTTTGCCATAACTCTTTACACCTTAACATCAGTATTCATTTCCTCCACACTGCTCCTGATACATTTCCAAAGGACTGACAAGGAGAATTTGTTTAACAATCAAGGTATTCTTATATCAGTGATTATTTCCTTTATTCTCCTGAGCTTTGCATTTGATTCAAAAGGGGTAATGTATGGAGAAATTAGAAGCCAGTCACTCCAAGGGATTAAAAGTTTAATGAATCAAGTGATTATTACTATGTTGATTTCTCCAGTTGCTTCAATGATCAATTGTGGGGCTAAAATTCAGTAAAAAAAAAATAAGGAAAAAAATTCCAATCCGATAAAATATCAGGGTCCACTTGCATGGAGAAATGCTTTTTTCTTTCACCTCTGGCTGCTCCCAGAAAGAGTGTCAAAAATGATGAATGGGGTTAATGCGTTACGATTTCCTTCCATTTTCAGGAAGTTTTGTAGAGGCGACCCTAACCTGGTGATGATGGCGCCCTAGGGGCATTGAAAATATATCTATTAAGTTTCCCTTAGAATTATTTATATATTCTTAGCTTAATTCTATCAAAATGACATTTCGAGGGGTGTCATCGCGGTTTAAAAGAAAACATGAGAAGTTTGTCAAGAATTAACCAATAGATTGAAAATCAAGATTCTCACCATGTTGTCGCACTTAATTCGAATCATCAACAAATACTGTCCACCTGGAATAACAACAGGCGTCGGCTCTACAGGATTTTCTTTATTCACTACATCTAGCACCCACCAACATGGGTTTTTTGAGGCAGAACAGGGTGTGAAGCTGAGCACGAGGACGATAAAGATGGCAAAGTACTTCCAGTTCTCCATCATACTATGACTTTTTCGTGTCCTGATCATTTAATTTGATAGTCTCATGGCTGAGCTCGATTACTTTAGTGGCGAAAGATATTGAAAACTACAGCTTCATCAATAGTGGGTCGTACTTTTAACCTGGTATTTTCTAGAAAGAGCCATTCAGCCTTGTTTGTAAAGTTAGGGTAATGTACGTTTCTTCGTAATTATTGTCAATGTGCTATATAATAGTTTCCAGGCTTTCCCGGTATTAGTGCATTTTCACGCACAGTAACGCAAGTGTCTTATGGACATGTCACACAACTGTACAGTACTGGTGTTTGCGGCTCTTGATCATCAAACGGGCTAATTTTCCTTAGAACTGTAAAAAGCTATGGGTTTCTGAGAACATCTCCGATGTCCAGAAATCCCAAACCATGTAATCTAAATGGCTTGTGCCTTTATCGAAAGTGGAGTTGAAATGGAGGTTATGAAATTAAATAGACCTCGTAATGACATCGTGAAACCTTTTTCTTGCGATATTCCAGTCGAGGAAGAGATGACTTTAGATTATTTTCAGTTTCGAGTGGTTTTTGTATTCATTTTTGTAAGATGTTTCCTTTCTTACCAAAGAGAGCCTCAAATATTAGTACCTTGGTTATGAACGTTTTGCGTTTTTTCATTCGAAAACTTTTCGAAAACAGCGAAATTTTGATTTTCTCGTGATATCTCATCACTTTAAAGCTAATGAAAGAACCCACCAGCATATAGGAAGTGATACCTAAAGTGATCAGTTTTTGCCAAAAAATTTCCACAGATCTACACTCAAAAGATAGAAAACAGATACTAAATCAAACAACGCATTTGATTTGTTTTAGTTATTTGATTATTCATTCATTCATCGTTTATTTTAATTTATCATTATAGATACATCTCAGAATTTCCCTTCGGTGTAAATCTTCAATCGAACAGTTTGCTTCATTAAATTTTAACCAGTTTTAAACAGTGCTAAAAGGCTCGAGCGTTTACAAGTCGATATGTCACTGAACAAAGATGTACCCCATCGCTTTTAGATGTTTACCGCCGCGCTGATCCTCGTTGCCACACGAGCTGCTATCATCAGGCCGACCTCCAGTACCAAAACCAACTCTGGAAGTCATATAATATGAAGAGCATTTTTGGCCACCAACTATGCCAATTCTAGCTTTGGAGTAAGAAGAAGAACCACGTTGAACATTAAAACCCTCCTCGAAACAGGTCCTCTGCAATGAGGCTTCGGGGCCAATCAATGCCTTCCACTTTTCAGGCCCGTACGAAGTGTTATGATATCCTCCGTTGGCAATCAGTGAATGCAAGGAATTGGCGGGGGTGTTCATGACAATGAATCTGACAGGTTGGAGGCCGACCTTCATTCCGAGACAGATCTTGGAGAAGGGTGTGTTCCAGTAGGTTGGCAGTTTGGTCTCTTGTCTGTCAAATGCAGTCATTCCTCCTTCTAAATTGTGGCTTTCTTTGTTGCTCCAGTATTGTGAGTCGTAGTGAAAAGTCCGCTGTGATAACAAAACAAAAGAAATTAAGTTCGTCGCGCAAAAACAGTTTTGTACTCGACAAATACTGTTTCAGACTCGCTCGGACACTTCTTAGGATAAAAAATGTCAATTTCATGTATTGCCATTATCGGATTTTAATTTCCCTTTTCTTTTTATTTCTTTCGCTCAAAGTTTTGCGGATTGATGGGCGCAATCATGGATTTTAAACTTTTATGTTCAATAAAATATGATGAATTTTAATTTCCTGAGTTAAGCAGCCTCCCTACGATAAATGAATCTGGGCGACAGCAAACACAGTTTCCTCCTTCTTACTGAGCTTTACAAAGGACCTACCTTTTGGCCGTCAATCTTCATGACCAGCGTCCATCCACCTCCTCCACACGCGCCCATGCCAGAGTTGGTCATGTGACAGTAAATAGGGACATACCCACAACCAGTCTGAAGCAGGTAAGCATTGTTTCCCAAAAACCTGATCTCGAAAGGAGCAAAAGGATTAATGACCACACCAGAGTCGGAGTCAATCTTGACAGTTGATAAATCAGAGCGTAGTATTTGAATAAAAATCTGGACGAAAGTTCATGTTTTAAAGCAAACGGAACGGGCAAGTAAAAAAAATTTTAAAAAAAATTGCTAAAGCTGGCTTTAAGGGGAAAATGCTAGCTATAGCTGAAAAGGAGAATCTTATTAATCTGTGCTCTTTTAAAATACGATGGCCGATTTCATTTGGGCATTAATCGTTCCTCTTTGGCATGAAATTTCTTTTCGGCTAAGATATTTTGCAATTTTTCGTTTACTAAGATATAATACGGAACATCTCTTTATGCTACATATTAGACTTAGGTCACACACGTACATTAAAGAATTTTCCATGAACAAACGGTAGCTGTCCGAATCTTTTTATTTAGTTACTTCCCTTATTCCTGCAGACACCTTGGGACAAAATGTTCTTCTTTTGCTATCTCCTGTCTCTAATTCTCAAGGTCTGCTGAGGGTCTTCAGCTTTGAGCTTAAAACTATCACCGCGGATCCTGGAGACTTTCTCAAGACTAAAACCCAAAGGCCTTTAATTTTGTAACATTTCAACCAGTTCTCACCTGTTTTTTGAATAAATCTCTTTGCAAGACGATGCTACCTTTTCTGAAAGGAGACAGAAAGGATGATAACCCTTAAGTTGAACATTCATGAATTTCCCAAATTTTATTTAACACAACCTTCTTTAAAACTTAAGACCCAAGAATGAAATTGCGCATTGAAAAACAATCTCATACCTTTGTTCGGGATCCATGGCATCCCAGCCTTGTTTTGTAGAGAGTCTTTGATGAGTTTCTTAACATCGTCATTCTTCATGCTCGACGAAGATCCAGCGATGTTCTGCAACAAGCCAAGCACTTTCGTTAATCCATCGTTTACGCGCTCTAAACTTTCGTCTTGTTTCTTATAGTCGTCACCACGACGGAACGATGACGTACCAGCTTTCCTCTGTAGAATGAACAGGGCGATGAGTCGCGTTAAACGTTCGTCTACTCGCTGAATCTTTTCATCCAACTTCTTAGTCCCTTCATTGGTGAACGTCGCTTGGTCTATGTACTGGTAAGTAATGTGCGGACCGCGAGACGAGGCTCCCTGAGGGTCTGAGATATTCATCTCTTTGTAATTGACTTTGCTGGCAATAATTTCGCCAATTGACAGGGATGAAATTATACTGAACAGCAAAAGAAACTGTGTCATGACCGAAAAATGCACAGGCTGCTGAAGCTTTGTCTGACTTAGGTGCAGTTCCAGATCTCTCAAATGGATATAGCTAGTCTTCCTTCAGCACTTATATGCTCCAAACTATGAAGACTCAGGGAAGACCATTTTTGGAAGATGTTCAGCTTATACTGGAGGGGGTTGATTTGAATTTCTAAGCGACAGTAAAAAGAAAATCAGGTTTTTAGCTCTGATTTCTTTTTTTTTTCAGTAAGCATTGAAATTAACATTTTTGAAGCTGATCACTTTCCCGACAACTAACGTCCCTGTCTGCATTACCGCCGTTAGGAAATTAAACTTTCTCAAATCCATCGATTAAATAAAAATCACTATGAAATGAAAAATGCGAGACACGTGTCAGCAGTTTCACTAACACGTGAGTTAAGAAGAAAAATATAATTGAATTAGTATAGGTAATCACATGATTTTGAGTGTAACTTGGAATAAAAAAGCATAAGTAAATTTTTTCAAAGACTAACAAAATTGCACTCACCCTACGGGCTCGTGCAATTTGTGGTCTTTGAAAAAATTAACAAGTGCATGCTTAATCCAAACTGCACGAGAAAAATCATGTGATTACGCACTAATAATAGACATGAAAAAATACGAGATGGCTTATCATGATTATGCAGAAGCAAAGCGCGTGCATCAATCTATTCAAACCCTGCAGACTTAGTGCGTTTGGTCAAAACAACCGCGCACGATCAAAACAATAATATACATTGATATCTTCACATCTTTAAGACTAAAAAAAGTACAAAGTTCGGCTAAACAGTTCAAGGAATTGTTCAGTCCGTGTCCGAATCACTTTCGATAAAGTGGAATCGCCGTTTGCGAGGTTTTACCATGTTTGTTTTTAATTTCGGCGTAGAGTCGCTCGAGTAAAGTGTTAAGCTGGGTCGGCTCGTAATTTTCGATTTTCTCGGCAGTTCCCATCCCTAAACACCTACAAGAGCAAAGAGCAGTGCTTTTTACAGTGTTTCCGTTGTTAGAGCTGTTTTCCAGCTGCTGCATTGTTGTTGCGGTGGCGAAAGAAAACCTACTTAAAACGCCAGCCATTGTTTCGCTCGCAAAATTTTCAGCTTATCCAAATGTTGCGACATCCAAGGCTCGCACTTGATTGGCTATCTATGGGTTTCTTTGACTATTAACCAATCAGAATGTCTGGTTTGTTACTTCTTTGTACTGAATTAACCCTCTTCTACACTAAATAACCTGAAAACTGCATTTATCTTAACCAATCAGAACCGAGTAATTTTTTTCATGTATATTATTAATGAAGTAATGATGCTAAAAAATGAAAAGCAAAATACTTCCTCGCTCTAAATTTATCTCATTGTCCCTGAAGTTATGTTAGCGGCTGGTGGTCACCTTTTCTTTCATTGACGCTACATTGACGCTACATTGACGCTACATTGACGCTACATTGACGCTACATTGACGCTACATTGACGCTACATTGACGCTACATTGACGCTACATTGACGCTACATTGACGCTACATTGACGCTACATTGACGCTACATTGACGCTACATTGACGCCACACCACGAGAATAGAAACATCAGTATATACTGTGAAAATGTCACATAACTGAGGCGACATTGACAACATCTAAAAAATATTTAAATACAGTAGGAACTATCATAATTTCTTGTTTTTATTTTCCCTACGTAAACAAAGGTAACATTGCAAGGGGATTGACTTGCTCATGTACAGCCCACCTGTTTCCCCTTTGGCGCTCATAAGTCAGCTACAAGTAACCAAGAATGTGTTGCTCTATAATAAAGTTGGAGACTGATTCTGCCACACCATTTATGTTACATACATACATACATACATACATACATACATACACACATACATACAAAATCACGAATTAAATATTGATTAAAACTATTTAAAACTATTCTTACAATATTACCGCCGCAGTCAAAATACTAGTGAAAACTAATATTACAAATTTACTAATCCCCGAAATTTAACAATCTAATTGTTTACTTTTTCATTGGCGCCTACTTTTATTCTAATGTCATTTGATAGCTCATTCCATTTCTTAGCTGCAAAATATCTCCATGATTTGAGTCCATATCTGGTAGTGTTAACTTTAGGTAAAGATAAAAACATATTCTTGGCGCCTGAGATTGTACTTAAATGAGCGTAAATTAATAAGATTCCTAATTGCCTGTCGTACTTTGTTCGAGATACTATTATGTATTGTCAATAACATGTCTTGAATTCTTCGAGATTCCATGGAGGGTAGTCTTATCCTTTCCAAGAGATGCTGATAATATGCATGTTTATTATTATAGACATATCTCAATGCCCCCTCGTTGACTTTTTCGATTTTAGTAGTGTTTCTTTTTCCGCAGTGGTGCCAAACGTGATTGCAGTGATAAAAATTTGGTAGTATGAACGAACGATATAGCGATTCCTTGGTTTTAAGTGATAAAATACTTTCCAGTCTATTAGGGACGTTTATTTGAGCACTCACTTTGCGACAAAGTTTACTTCGCATGTTTGTGCGTTCGTATTTGAACCACTAAGGAGAAGTTGTCAGCAACTCGGCTTAAGAATAACAATGAGTGAACTTTTGAACTCATACGCGGATCATGCTGGATGGTCACAAAACAGGAGCGGCATTGGAGTTTGATTCAAATTAGACTTGTATTTACCTAAAGAAGTTTGCTTCTTGATGTTCATCAAACAAAGCAGGTGGATGAAGGTGCAAATTTTGTTCCTTCTTTTGTTTAAGTTTAGTCTCCGTATCATAATAATTTTCTCCCGTTCACAGTTTGTTTTCGTCCGAACCACGAAGGGGACCAGTTCAAAGCTCGGGTAAAGTGAAAACTTGCACTGATTATGCTCGTTCGCCAATTTCCTTCTGCATGGTCGATATGAGCGATTTAAGTTAATAATTGTGTAAACGGGAGTGCCATCAGAATTTGACAAACACATATAACAAACTTTTAAGTCTTGAGTCGTTCATTGGAATTTTTGTTTTTATTTTGTCAAAGAAGTGTTATATCAAGTTCCATTAAACAACTAACAAAAACCTACACACTTTAAGTGTAGGAGGGACTTAAAAGCGTATGATAATGGAAAATAAGAGGAAAAAAAAGGCAAAAGAAAACAAACAAGCAAAAAGAGAAGTGGGAGGAGAGTCCACGCAAGTATCACTTTTCTGGCTTGTTCTTTGGATTAATTATAAAAATTGAAAGGTCACCACAAAGACTGCTATGAATTTGATCCCGTTCAGCTGCATGCTGAGAACTTTTTCCGGGGAGGAAGATATAGTCTCACCTGCGTCATTGCTCTGTTATTGTGGGTGGCATATCGCTTAAAGTACAGATGATCCAAGATCTTTCCACTATAAAAAACCCCCTGTACTACCCTTCCACATCAAACGAACGCACCGAGAAAACTGAATCCGAAATTACCTCAACAAAGAAATGGAAACAAAACTGGCTTTCGGTGTTCTTTTTCTTTTGTCACTTCTTCTGATCGAAGGAACCGAAGGTGTACTGGCCTGCACAAAACAGGACTCTAGGCCGGTAAATACCTGAGACACTTCGATTTAACTTTTTAATTATTCTGAGTTTTAGGAGCTCTTCATATTTCAAGTAGGTATGGCTGCAATTAAAATTCTTTTTTTAATTTATAGGCTTGTAATTCGAACAAGGGGCGGGAACGAAGAGTCTGCTCCATTGCTCGACGGCTCGATTGCAAACAGATCCTGCTAGATGAAGACGCACACCTGAGAGGCCAGCAAGTTGAGACTCTTTAGGAATCCCACTAATATACAACGACGCTGA